CCCTACCAACCATTCCTTGCCCCTTTCCCCAAGCACCTCCCCTCTTCCATACCCCCTCCCCTTCTCTTCCACCCCCTTTCTTTCTCTCTTCTCACACCTCCAACCCCTTCCTTACCCCCTTACCCCACCCACTCTTCCGTACCCCTTTCCCCCACCCACCCCACCCTTACCCCTTCCCACAAAAACCCTTACCCCCTTCCCCACCCTAATCCCCTTCCCTCCTACCTAACCTTGCCCTCCCTCCTTCACCCTTTAACTAGAAGGACAAAAGATTTAAAATCCTGGAAAGCAAAATAAAATAGCTTTTAGTTACTAGTTCAAAAATTATTTCATATTGGCAATTTCTTATACAGTTCATAATCGTAATAAGTCACAAATGCACCTGAAGAAAGGCTAGCTAGAAGCTCCTTTTCTAGGATAGTAAGTTTAGCACTCCATGATGATAATGCAACGAAGGCATTCTCCCTTAAACATTAATTCAAAAAGCCTTGTTGATTTCATAGTATGGGAAGTGTATGAGTGATGAATTTCTCCAATTCAAGTTCCTTATTCATGTATTTCTCAAAAAAAAGAAGGAATATCCGAACGAGGTGTCATGTTTCCAAAAAAAGGTTACTTTGATAGTACTTTCATTAAAAAGTTCAAAAGTGTGTCTTGAACACAGCTTTTTTATGGGGTACATACCAATAAGAACAGCCACTACTAGACCTGAAAATTAATAACGACAATGTTCGTTAAGATTATTATAAAAATAATAATGTACAATTAAGGAAATTTCATGATAGAAAACATACATCAATATGGCCAGTACACTTCACACTCAAATCGAATTTGCAATCAGTCATCTCATCAGTTACCTAATCAATTAATCAAAATTCAAGAAAAGATGATCCACTATGTCTCACACTTGTCTTTTTCTTCTTTCGCAAAATGATCCATTAGGAGAAGCAGATATTAGTACCTCTTGACCTGGTTTACTTTAATCCTTCGGGTTCACAAACTTTTTCACGCAAAATTTCTTAGTTGTAAAATAAAAGTAAAATGGATGAATTAGTTGCTTTGCTATATAAGATAATGGATCGAGAATGTGTAAGACACAAGTTAATTACCTTACTGAAATCAGCTAGCATTTAAATCGACACAAATTATCCTTGAAGCGCTAGCAATTTTTTCTCCGTCTGCAGCCTGAACAAAAGAGATTAGATCATTATTAGTAAGATTAACATATATGTGGATTAAAAAACAAAACAGAACAAGAAGGTTATTTGCAATGTGAAGAATATTCACAATAAGGCCTACAGCTCCTAGTCAAAAAATAGCCACACTTGAATCTTTTGTGGGTTTAGCAACATTCAAAGGTGCTCCAAGACTTTCAAAAACATCTGCAAATAAAGGAATGAACATCCATCCTATCATCAGCATGTGTAAATCATCTCAATAGATATATATACACAAAAAGGATTCAACAGGGAAAATCTAATTAGAATCAAGTAAAGAGGAATTCAAGCAAGCAAGCACAACAAAAAAAAAATAAACTGACTAGTATAGCTTCTGATGGATGGTTCATTCCTTGAATAGGAAGTGAGTCACCTTCAATGAACATGATTATTTGAAGTGACTTCTTTTTAGGACTGCGAAGGCATAACTAAAGTGACTTTTAAAAGAGGATTGAGTATTTCTTATGGAATAATAAGATAAGGCCTTTTGTGGCTATGCATGTTGCTCCCTAAGCGATCAAAATGCTACATGAATGCCCTTCCCATATACCTTGGATGTAGTGATAGAAAAGAGACATCAAACGGAGAAGGCAAGCCAGCTTATTTGACCATTCCACCATATTGATGTATTTTTAGATCTTGAAAAAACTAGATTCATGAACGATTAGCAAGTTAAGGACCGATTTGTTTGCACCAATACTCTAATACTGTTGCAAGATTGGTACTAGAGCATGGTTGAGACCAATGTGAAAATGCAAATGCTAGATCCACAATATTTGGAAATGGAAGACCCCAGGCCTAATTGAACAAATACACAAAACAAACCTATTGAAAATACTCCTAATACAAACACTTCCTTCGTAGAGCCCTTGTAGCAACATCCTTACTTATGCAATTCTTCTTATCCTAATTTTTTCTTAGTTGAAGTTCCTATATTCTCTTAGTTGAAAACAGAATACACCTAACATTAGGAACTGCCTCAACATCTAATAAGGTAAGCTACAAAAATACATTATAAAGAGAGATTAAATGGAATAATCCTCAATTTCAAAATAAAAATCCACTAGGGGTTGAAACAGAAGAAAGACTTTAGGATATCTGCTGGTCTTCTTCCACACAAATCCCAATAAAAATAAATGTTCCCAAATGTAAAGGGTAGCATTCTTCTTCCTTTCTATTTTAATCTTAATTTAGGAAAATTTAGAAACGAACTACAGATGAATGTTTCAAACAACTGTAAATAACTTACTCTTTATCAAAAAAATGAATATTTCAGATAACTCTATCCTTGACTAACTGTTAAAATTGAGGGAAAAAATCAAGAAAAAAGACTCTTATCAAACAAACAAAAACATCCAGGCTATCTCAAATTTTTTACTACAGATCATTAAAATAGCAATCAGTAAAACATAAACAACTCAACCAATAGATACTAATTGACCAGAAAGGGTAAATATTTGTCTTTTAAAATGACAAGACATGATAAGAGCAAGTGAGCTTAAGGACAATAGAGCATACCTTCACCTTTTGGTGAGTGTCTTTCACAGTTCTTAAACAGTTTCACCATCCTTCTTCTTTCTCCATTGGTGACCATTTTATGTGAAGTTCTTTGTGCTAGGTCTGCCCGAGATCGATCTCTTCCAAGGGAGAAGGTCAACTTAGGTGACTGGGCAATGAATTTGCAATAGAAGAGATAGATGGAACATATCATAGATCCCGACCTTTTGGGCAATATAAGACCAGATTCCTTTAGCAAGTTTGGAGAAACGCACTTAAGTACTTTGCTGAATCTGGTGCACATTCCATCTACGGGTGAGGTGCTAAGGAATTTGGAGAATTAACTTCATCTCCAAGAGACTGTCATTCAAGAAAACAGTACCATCCCTATTGGCGAGCTATCACTACAAACATGCAGATGCGTGTGAAGAAGAAGAAATCCAATAACCTAAACTACTAGCCAAAGATGTTGAGTATTGGAAAAACTATAGAAAAATGAATTTTTCAAACTACAATATACCCACCCAGTCATGAAAACTTCAAGAGCTCTTGAAAGTCTCTGCAAGATTCTTTTTTTTATAACCGAGAAATCCGCATGTGACCCGCTCTTTGGACCAATCATAGCCTTCTAAACTCAGTGGATAATAGGCCCGCCTCCGGGCTACACTTTGCATGGTGTGGGGCTCAAACCTGCGACACCACCTTCTTCCACTCGAGCTAAGCCTAGGAGGCAGTCTGTGCAAGATTATTATGCAAGCTTTTGATGGAAATTTGCCTCGATAATTGAAGATCATCCAACATTTTCAAGTTTACAAGCAGTGAATATTCAAACATCACCATCCTGCAACAAGAAAGATTACACATTTAACAAAAATGCATCAGTTCAATTTATTAAGGTGCTACATCAACTTCTTTTATTGCAGATATAAGTTTGAGAGGCTGACCAAGGAGAGGCTAGAGCAGACAAATGTTTTAATGACATTAACACGCTAAACTAAGATTGGGGATGCAGAGATACACATAACTTTACATTAAAAGTGATGCAATAGCTCTGAAAATCACTAAACATTATTCAAATTATTTAACAGATTCTGTCACAAAATAAAAAAATATATACTTCATATGCTCTCTATTTGAGTTAATAAAAACAAAAGGAGATTCAATGCAGGCTATCATGCAATAAATCAGTTTAAGTCTTGCTCTACCTCTTCATATTAAATGTTCAAAATTGAGTTCTCATGGGGATGGCCTAGTAATTGTGGCAAGGAACTTTGAGCATCACTCACAATGAGGTCCAACTACTACTGCTATTGCTGATGCTAATGCTCTATTTGTTTTCTAAAGTGAAAGAAAGGAAAAGGACAGAAGAGGCCTGTTAGTTTTGATAATGGAGAAATAAAGCAAGAGGCTCAGATTATGTCATGGGGCTTTCAGTTCTTTTTGCCAAGCCATAGCTACAAATATTAAGAAATTCAGATCGCCCTAACAAGATACCAGCTAGAAAACTCTAATGTCTTCCAACCAAACTTGAGCCATTGGAAGACTAGGCTCACTAAAAGTCTAAGGGAGATACTACTCTAACAAAAATTACATACTATTTTCATGTTGAAATGTAATGTCCACTCTACTCAGATGACAAATCATTTGCAGCATATCCTAATTGAAGACTGTGACAGACTGAAACTTGTAGATCAAATTTAGGATTAAAAGGGTATGTGCTTGTATTGGTGGGAAAAATTTTGACATCCCTACATCATGTGTTCCTTGTTTTTTAAAGTACGTTATTTCTCTGAGGTTTTATCACCTAGAACATTTACATCTAAGCACAAATAGCATTTTAAAACATAAGTGGAAGTAGTATAGTAGTTCTCGTAAGTTAGAACACACTAATTGATTAATCACAAGAATTTTGACAAAAATAGATCCTTTTATTAAATGAATTAAAGAAGTGTTACCCGTATGACAGCCATCCACCAAGGTATGTCCTTCAACTGCCTAGTTCAAGCTTATCTCGTTAGATCCATTGAAGGCAACCACTCTGCAAGTCCATATGATCTTCTCAATTCCATATGCATCAAAATAAGGGCATCCCTCATCAGTTTACCAAGTCTGGAAGCTGCTTCCGTTGCATATAACTGAAGAGTACCCCAAAGCTTCTAGCTCTGTGGATGATACAAGGGTTGCTTTCCTGATTAGCCAATGTTCTCAAAAAAGAACACAACCTAGACCAAGAAAAAAAATACTAAATTAACGAAAAGAGAACATACAAGGCATTATCAGGAGATGAGTGAACCAAGCTGCAACTCCCCACGACTCTCAGAAGAACAGAAGTTCAATGCTTTACATAAGATTCTAGAGATTCCTTCTCACCATTCTAAATAAATGCCTCTTTAACCAGAAGGACAGAAGATTTAAAATCCTGCAAAGCAAAAGAAAATAGGTTTAGTTACTAGTTCAAAAATTATTTCATATTAACAATTCCTTATACAGTTCATAATCGTAATAAGTACCACAAATGCACCTGAAGGAAGACTAGGCAGACATCAAAGGAAGCATTTGATTAAAGTCTCCATCTTAAATACTACAGTTCTCCATATTGCACTAATGCCCATTTTTGGAACAATCATACGTTGATAATGAGCTCATCTATAATCCTTTTCAATATGTTCAGGGTGAAGTCTTGTAACTTTCACCAAATCTCAGTAGCACAGAAATTCAAAGCTTTTATACAAGATCTCAAAGCTTCCCTTCCACCATGATTAAAAGATGCCTCGTTTATCTGAAATACAAAACATTTAAAAATCTGGAAAAGCAAAAGAAAATAGCTTTGAGTTACCAGTTAAAAAGATACTTCACATTAGTAATCCCATATATAGTTCATGATCGTATTACATTTCACAAACGCACCTAATCTTATCTTTTAAGAGAATAGAGGTTTAGGTTCATATAAACAATGAGTTTAAGAAGATAGGGAATTTTTGCTTTATTAGACATAAATTTGTGCATAAGTTGTGGATAATTCCTCATCATATACCACATAGAACTTTCAAACACGTCCTGGCGAGCATTCAAAGAATTCAGTATCCCAGAGTAGTATGGCGGAACAACACCAACATAATTTCTCATTGACAAAGAACACTTAAGAAGGGACCTTACCAAATTACCTCAAACATCATGTTCAATAGTCCAGCCATTGCAGCTTTCGGATCCTTCTCATAGTGTTCCACCCAATTCATGGTCTTTTTTCAAACAAAAGCGACTAGCTCGAAGGTCTTTTCTAGGACAGTAAGTTTAGTCCTCCACGGTAATGATGCCACGAAGGCCTTCTCCCTTCAACATTAATTAAAAAGCATTGTCAATTTAATAGTATGGGAAGTGTATGAGTGATGAATTTCTCCAATTCATTTTCACGACCCAACCCGATGGGCCGTGACTAGTGCCCATTTTGGACACCCACATACAAACCTGCTAAGTATAACAAACTGAAACTAAGACAATATGGAATTTAATCAAATCAAGCCAACCCCAACGTCATATATAAAGAGGACTTGTCTCATAAGGAGTCATAACCAATCAACCATAACAACATACGCGAGCCGACAAGGCCGCCACAATCCAAAGCATAATAACATACGTAAGCCGACAAGGCTGCCACTACACAATACACAATGATGTACGCAGCCGACAAGGCTGCCCCTGTACAAGCGAACATCCCAAACAAACCATGTCCAGACCATTATCCAAAACATATATATACAACCCACATAATGTCCACAGACCTCTAAAAGTACAGTAGTGAAACTCGACAGGACAGGGCCCCGCCATACCCATAGACGAGCAAAAGACTACACAAAAGTTATGTACCAAAATGACTGGGCTACGGAACAGTGGAGCTCTCCCAATCAGCAGAGTAGATATCCTAGGCGGGAGGATCACCGAACTGTGCGTCTACACCTGCGGGCATAAAACGCAGCCCCCCGAGGAAAGGGGGGGTCAGTACAGACAATGTACTGAGTATGTAAAGCATAAGGTAAAGATAACAAGATACCAATATGGCAAGTCGAAACAAAATATCGCTACACATGTACCCTTTTAAGTGAAAATCATGCATATCTTTAACATATAAGGTGCCCAACTTCCCTAGTAAGGGGCTCGAGAAAATAATTATCACATCATCTCCATCATCATCATCATAACCATCCTCATCACCAATCATATATATAATATACATACCCGGCCCTCTAGTGAGGGACTCGGTGACATATACAAGAAACTCCGCACGAACATTACCCGGCTCGGGACTCGGTGAAATGATAAATGACTCTATGCACAAGCAGAACATTATGAGCAACCATATGCAATTAAAATCATTCCTTATAACTCAATAGAACAATCAATGTGAACCAGCAAGGAGTATTACCAAAGATTAACGTTTCATCAAGATTATGAACCTTTAATACGATATGGAAACGTAAAATCTCAATGACTCTAAGAAGCACTACCATAGATATGAGAAATCATCATAGACTTAGACATAGACGATATATAGAGGAATAATTGTGGAAGCAAGAATATACGTCACCTACACGCTCTAGAGGTAAGTATCAAACTTGTCTGTTATTCGCTTATTTTTAAAAGTCAAGCCAAACAAAGAAAGAACGGACAGCATTACATACCGTATAGTCGATCCGCACGTCCAATATTTACTGCTCAAGCTATTAATCTATAACAAGCAACAATCGTGCCGCAATTAGATAAACGTCGCGCTTTACTATCTTGTAAGCAAGCTAATAATCTAACGAAAATCTGGCAGCACTTCCCCTATTTTCCTTACTTCATCCCAATCCGACACAACCCAAATTATCCACAGTAATACCAATAACACATATAACCCAACGAATCATATTAAACAGCCCCCTCCCCAGAACAGTTCCATCTCAGCAACCATAGCAGCGAAGGAACGACACACCGAGCCATAACTCGTATTATAATTCACAACACATCTACCTTATCGTATTCATTCTTTGGAGTATATACTCATAATCACATTTAACATATACATAACGCCAAAACAGAATTTTCCCGCAGCTTACTTTAATCAAAACAACCCAAGCACCAACACGACACCACTAATAATCCGATTATGGTTTCCGTTCATACTTAGCACATTCAATAACTAAAAAAACTTCCTAAGCTACTGGTCACGCCCCCTTCTTAATATTAATGGATAATTAACAAGGTATTCTAAAGAATTAACATACCAAGCAAGGAGATTACTAACCAAATTATTTGCAGCTGCTGGCCAAGAGTTGCAGATTTGGTTTCTCCATTTCCATGGCTGCCTAAGCAAAGTGGTGAAGAAGATGATATACAGCAATGCATTTCCCCACTTTATTTAGTATGGAGTGGATTTCTCCACCTCATTTATAATATGAAGTGGAGGCAGCCCCCCTCTACACGTGTCCACTAAGGCCAGCTCCCAATCTGATCCCTTTTTAACTTTTGCCTTGAGTAGTGGGGCCCACTGGATTAAATTAATCTTAATCAGCCACTAATTATAAGTGGTGGGGCCCACTGGATTAAATTAATCCTAATCATCCACTAATTAGTCCCTCACTTAAAGTTAATGGCACTTACATTAGCCAAATCATACTTAATATCACATTTGGAATTAACATCCTTGCCTAATATTTCTTTAATCACTTGTAACTTAAAATAAAATCTCATTCCCCGGACTTACGTCTACTGGATCATGATGCTCACTACGTATAAAAAATACGAGGCATAACATCCTTTCCCCCTTAGGAACATTCGTCCTCGAATGTTAAGTTAGCGTCTTACAAAAACAAATTCCAGTGAGGTCACTCTAACAGTTATACCTATCAACCTGCATTTCGTACCTTATAGATGCCTCACAGAGTCACACTTACTACATAATCTCATTTATCAATCAATATAGTCAAGCTAGGAATCGAATTACCTGCAGGTACGGAGAACAAGTAAGGATACTTATTCTTCATTTCGTCTTCCGCTTCCCAAGTCATCTCCTCCCTATTATTATTTTTCCACAACACTTTGACAGAAGCCACATCCTTAGTACGTAACCTTCTAACCTGGCGATCAAGTATAGCTACGGGTTTCTCCTCATATGACAACTCCTCTGTTACCTGAACATCATCTACGGGTAATACTCTAGAAGGATCACCAATACATTTACGTAGCACCGATACATGGAAGAATGGATGTACCGGCTCCTAATCAGATGGTAGATCCAACTCATAGGCAACCTTGCATCTCCTACGAACAATCTGATAAGGCCCAATGTATCTCGGACTGAGCTTCCCCTTCCTGCCGAATCTCATCACACCCCTCATGGGTGATACCTTCAGGAATACCCAGTCACCAATCTGAAACTCCAAATCTCAACGCCGATTATCTGCATATGACTTCTGTCGACTCTGGGCTGCTAATAATATTTCTTGAATAAGCTTCACCTTGTCAACATCTTGCTAAATCACATCCGGGCCTATTAAGTTAGTCTCGCCAACATCAAACCAACCAATAGGTGATCTGCACTTCCTCCCATATAAGGCCTCGTATGGTGCCATCTGGATACTAGAATGGTAGCTATTATTATAGGAAAACTCAATAAGTGGCAAGTGGTCATCCCAGCTACCTTTGAAGTCAATAATATAGGCCCGCAACATATCTTCTAATGTTTGAATAGTATGCTCAGCCTGCCCATCAGTCTGAGGGTGAAATGCAGTGCTAAGGTTCACCTGTGTCCCCAATCCCTTCTGAAACAATCTCCAAAAGTATGCTGTAAATTGAGCTCCTCTGTCTGATATAATGGACGTGGGAACCCCATGAAGTCTCACTATCTCCCTGACATATAACCTCGCATAATCTTAAGCCGAATAAGTAGTCCTCACTGGAATAAAATGGGCCGATCTTGACAGCCTATCTACAATAACCCATATCGAGTCATACTTCCGTTGAGTGTGAGGTAAGCCTGTAATGAAGTCCATATTAATCATCTTCCATTTCCAAGTCGGGATCTCTATCTCCTGTAATAATCCACCAGGCTTTTGATGTTCGATCTTGACTTGTTGACAATTCGGGCACTGAGCAACAAACTCCGCTATGTCCTTTTTCATGCCATCCCACCAATATAAGCATCTAAGGTCATGATACATTTTCGTTGACCCTGGGTGTATAGAATAACGGGCAGAGTGTGCCTCTCCTATAACCTACTGTCGTAGCCCCGCAGTATCGGGTACACACAATCTGTCGTCATATCGTAACACTTCGTCAGGTGTAACCTTAAATGGGGTCTTTTCCTTTTGAAGAGTTGCATCTCTATACTGTGCCAGAAAGGGTCCTTGTATTGGTGTCTCTTTACCTCATTTA